CCTACTATCTCAGAAAAAAATATTAGTTTGCTCTTGTCATCATTCGGCAAAGTGAACCTAATTTGCTTGGGTTATGTTGGTCTGACTTGTACCGTATCTCAAGCAGGTCATGGCTTAAAACCTCACTCTAATAAATCTTCCCAAAGTCCCAGCATTTTGGTCTTCTGGGATACTTTAGCTGTAAACCTTGGAGATTACTGGGCACAAAGCTTAAATCTATGTTCCAGTTAAATTGTGCATTCCACACTGCTAATGAAATAGATAATGGGTGAATTAAGATTTATACAACGAGGCAGCTCCATCTCAATCAGACGGAAGAAATTCAAAGCAAGTCAAACCAATAACATGGTGAACTGAGCTGTCTGTGTTTCATGAGCTGGATAGTTTGGACACTATTTGTGTCTGCAAGCAGAGTCAGCCTTAAACCAAGGGAAGATATGTTTTGTTGTCTTGTTTAAAGGAGATACATGACAGCTTCTTTTCAAAGGTCCACTGCATGTGCATATGCTTGTGGCACCATTTCATTTTTGTGCAGGAGTTTGCTTGCCCGTTTTGCATGGCCTTCATTAACAGTTGCTGCAGTTGTAAAATAAATCATCGCAGGTGAGCTGCTTAGAGATGTGAAAACAATTCATAAATGCGGTTTTCTCTGCTTTCCATCAGCTCTCCAGGAGGTTGCTGTGTTTAATTAGACATCTAATATTTTTCTCATGGCTTCTAATGGGGCAGTGCTGATTGGCTGACAGGTAAATCAAATCCAAGTCTCTGACTACCTAAACAACATTATAAATCCATGACAGTTATTACAATTAGTGCTATATTGCAGAGCTAAACTTTGAATTCTGGAAGGTCAGACAGTTGTGGGAAATAAAATTGCACAGCCACAAATGCCTACAGAATAGATAGTTTTTCTCCCCTCAATCTTTTTAGATCATAGGAACACAAGAGTTAGAGGCGGGAGAAAACTAGCTCTGAGCCTGCTCCATCATTCAATCTGGTCATGGCTGACCTTGGGCATCAAATCTACTTCCTTGCATGCTCTCCATATCCTTCAAATTCCCAAAGCCAAAAATCTGTTTATCACAGCCTCATATATTCAACAATGGTGCATAAACAACCCTCAAAAGTAAAAAATTCCAAATATTTGAGTAAGAAATTTCCCTTTGTCTCAGTCCTAAACAATCGTCCTTTTTTATGACTGGGACCTAGTGGTTCAGATTCCCTAGTTGGGGGAAAATAACCTCTCAATATCCATTACGTCCAGTCCCTTCAGAATCTTATAGTTTAAAAATATAAGGTGAAATTTCATTCTTCTAAATATCAAAAACAAAAGCTCAATTTAGATTTAAGTCTCATTATCGGACAAATTTCTCATTCTAGGAGCAAATTTAGTGCACATTTGTTGTATGATCTCAAATGCATATAAATCCTTCCTTAAATAATGGTACTGAGTGGTAAGTAGAGGTATTGCCTCAGTATATTTTTATTCATTCATGAATGTTGCCAGTTGGGCTAAAGTTTATTGCCCATCCACAGCTGCCCTTAAGGTGGTGGTGACGACAGTCTGCTTGAATTGCCGCAGTCTATGAGGTGCAAATAATCCTTGGCAGTGTTGTTAGAGAGTGATTTCCAGGATACTTACCCAGTGACACTGAACGAATGGTGATATATTCCCAAGTCAGGACAGCAAGTGGCTTGGAGGGGAACTTGCAGGTGGTAATGTTCCCATGTATTTGCTGCCCTTGTCTAGATGGCAGCGATCATGGGTTTGGAAGGTGCTCTCCGAGGAGCTCTGGTGAATTTCTGTACTGAATCCTATCATTCACACTGCTTCTAATAAGCGATGACGGTGGAAAGAATGAATGAATGGGGATATGGTACCAATCAAACAGGCTGTTTTGTCCTGGATAATGTTAAGCTTCTCAGGTGCTGTTGAAGCTGCACTCATCCAGACAAATGGCAAGTATTACATCACACTCCTGACTTGTGCCTTGTAGATGGTGAACAGGTGATGGGTTACTTGCAGCAGTATTCCTAACGTCTAAACAGCTCTTGTAGTTACAGTATTAATATGGCAAGTCGAATTGAGTTTTTGGTCAATGGTAACCCCCAGGATGTAGTAGGGGAAATTCAAAGATGGCAATGCCACTGGACATCAAGTGGCTATGGTTAGATTCTCTTTTGTTTGAGGTGGCTGTTGCATAGCACTTGTATGGCACAAACTTTACTTGTCATTGTCAGCCCAAATCTGGAGATTGTCCAGGTCTTGCTGCATGCATTCCTAAACTACCTGAGGAGTTGAGAATTCTTTTAACATTGTGCTGTCATCAGTGAACATCCCTACTTCTGATCTTATGATGCAGGAAGGATCATTGATGAAGAAGCTGAAAATAATTGGGCCTAGGACAATGCCCTGAGGAACTCCTGCAAAGATGTCCTGGAACAGATTTGACAGGCCTCCAATAATATTATCTTCCTTTGTGCCAGTTATGACCCCAACCAGGATGTTTTCCTTCGGATTCCCATTGACTTTATTTATTACTAGGGTTCATTGGCGCCACATTTGGTCAAATGCAACCTTGAGTTAAAGCAGTCATTCCAACCACACCTTTGAAATTCAGCTCTTTTGTCCATGTTTAACTCACGGCTGTAATGAGGTCATGAGCCCAAGTGTCGCTAGTATAACGTAAGCATCAGTGACCAGGTTATTGCTAAACAAATGTTAATTGATAATACCCCCCATTAATTATCAATGATTGAGAACAGACTGATAGGCAGGTAACTGGCTGGGTTGCATGTCCTGCTTTTTATGTACAGGACATACCTGGGCAATTTTCCACATTGTTGGGTAGATGCCAGTGTTGTAACTATACTGGAACAGTTTGGCCAGGGGAGCAGCAAGTTTTGGAGCGCATGTACTATTGCTGGAAAGTAAACCATAAACTACAGTCATTGTAGTATCCAGTGCCTCCAACTCTTTTTCAATATCACAGTGATGCAAATTGGCTACAGACTGGCACTGGCAATGTTGGGCTCCTCTGGAGGAGGCCAAGATGGATCATCCACTTAGCACTTCTGGCTGAAGATTGTTGGGCACTCATTATTTGCATATCCCATTATACGGGGATATTTGCAGAGCCTCCTCCTCCAGTGTGTTGTTCAGTTGTTCACCACCATTTACAATTCGATGTGGCTTAGATCTGACTGTTGGTTCTGACTACCACTTGCTGCTTATACAGTTGTGGCATGAATGTGGACCTGTTTTTGTATCTTGATCAGGTTGACACCTTATTTTTAGGTATGCCCGATTCTGCCTCTGGCTTGCCCTCTTGTATTCTTCAATGAACCAGGCTTGATGCTGACTTGATGATAAATGGTAGATTGGGGGCATGCTGGGCCCTGAAGCTGCAAATTGTGTTCGGGCACAATTCTGCTGCTGATGACCCACAGCACCTCATGGATGCCCAGTGTCTGCTCAAATTGCACACAGTGCTGGTCTCACCAAAGTACTGTAACAATTGTAAGCAAACCTTCTGTATTTCTGTACTCCAATCTCCTTGCAATAAAGGCTAACATACAATCTGCCTCCCTAGTTGTTTACTGGACCAGCATATTAACTTTGTCTTCTTAGTGTGAGCACATCCATTCTATCTGATGACCAATATTTACAAGTTTTATGCCTTTTAAATATTCTAAATTTCTAATCATACAACCAATATGATAAACTTCATATTCCCCACATTATGACATATCTATCATCTTGTTACCTGCTTGCCTAACCTGCATATTTTTCCTTGCAGCCCGTGTCTTCCTCACAACTTAAATTTCTGCCAAGCTCTATATAGCCAACAAACATTGAAACATTACTCTCCAGCACTTTGTCTAAGCATTTAAAAGAGATTATCAATAGCTGAGACCCGAGCGCTGATCCTTACTGATCTCCTTTAGTCACAACCCACCAACTTGTAAATACACCATTTATTCCTTTGTATCGATTAAGCAAACTTCAATCTATGCTGATACCTCACACCTGATTCCACGAGCACTTACTGAATGCCTTGAACAAGTCCAAGTATACTACATTGACTGGTTCCCCTTCATTTACCCTATGAAAAATGTCAAAAAATTATCCCTTCATAAATTAGAATTGTTCTAGTCATACCATTTAAGACTCTCTCACAATTGATTCGTACACTTTCCCAATGATTGATAGTAAGCTAATTGGCCTGTAGTTCTGTTTTCTTTCTTGGATAGCACTGCTACATTTGGTAACTTCTGATCTGCCTGGACTGTTCCAGACTCTAGGGAATTATGGAAAATCACAGCCAGCATCTACTATCCCTGTAGCTATCTGTTTTAGAATGCCAGGACGTAGTCCATCAGGACCTGGGGATTTTGGTCCTGAGATTTTCCCTGCTGATAATATTATATCCACACTCCTAACAGTCCCCAAGTTACCTTCTGTGTCTGCTGTGTAACTGGTATGAATGTGAAGACAGACAATATTTGCTTGACCTGCCATGTTTTTTTTAACCCCATGATAATTTCTCCTAAGGAAATAAATGTTTGCTTTAGTTGCTACCTTCCGATTTACATTAATTTAAGAACTCCTGTAATTTGTTTTTATATTCCTGGCCAGTTTACACTCATTCTATTTTGTTTTCCCCTTTTTAGTCAACTTGGTGGTATTTTGTTGATTTCTGAAAAAACTCCTAACCTTTACAACAATAAGCCTCTTCTTTTAATCCAACACTATTCTTAATCTCCCTAGCAAACCAGATTCTTCACAGTTTTTGCTTTTCAGAGGAATGTATTCTTATTGAGCATTTTGAGGTATTTCTTTAAATGCTTCCCACTGCTTATTTATCTCTGTGGCTTTTAGTTAATTTACCCAATCAACCTTTGCCAACTCTCTCCTTACATCTACGCAAATGAATTTTTAAAAATATTTTGCTAATGACCGGAGTTTGCCAGTTTCAAATATAATGTGGAAATCAATTCTATTATGATCACTATTTCTCAGTACATCTTCTACTGTGACATCACTTACTAACCTAGCCTCAATACCAGAGGTAGTCATAGAGGTATACAGCACGGAAACAGGTATTTCAGCCTAACTCATCCATGTTGACCAGGTTTCTAAACTGAATTAGTCCCGTTTGGCCCATATCCCTTTAAACCTTTTCTATCCATGTACCTATCCAAATGTCTTTTAAATGTTGTACCGACCTCTACCACTTCTTCTGGCAGCTCTTCCATGTATGCCCCACCATCTATGTCCCTGCCCCTCAGGTCCCTTTTAAATCTTTCCCCTCTCATCTTAAACATATGCCCACTAGTTTTGGACACGCCTACCCTGGGGAAAAGACCTTGGCTGTTCACCTTATCTATGCCCATCATGATTTTATTAACCTCTATGTGGTCACCCCTCTGTCTCCTATGCTCCAGGGAAAAAGTGTCAACCTATCCAGCTTCTCCTTACAACTCAAACCTTCCAGTCTCGGTAACGTCCTTGTAAATTTTGTTTGAACTCTTTCCAGTTTAATAACACCCTTCCTATAGAAGGGCGACTAGAATTGTACACAGTAACCCAAATGTGGCCTTACCAATATCTTGTACGGCCATTACATTACGTTCCAAATCCTGTACTCAATAGTCTGACCAATGAAGACAAGCATGCCAAATGACTTCTTCACCACCCTGTTTATCCGTGACACCACTTTCAAAGGAACTATGTGCCTGCACCCCAAGGTCACTCTGTCTGACAACATTCCACAGGGCCTGACCATTAACTGTGCAAGTCACGCCCTCATTTGTCTTACCAAGATGAAGCACCTCATATTCACAATTTCGCATGTGGTTGCCTTTTTGGTAACGAAAACAGAAATTGTGATGGAGTCACTGGACTCGAAACACTGATTCTGCTTTCTCCCACAGGTTCTGCCAGCAATTTCTGTTTTTGTTTCAGATCTCCAGCATCCACTGTTCTGTGTTTTATTTTAGTGCCTTTTTTGTAAAATTGTTCACAGCATTGTTAAGTTACACGCTAAACACTGTTAACAAAGAAATTGAGAATTTTAACCAGAGCAACTTATCATAGTCAACATTTATGTGGGTGGATACTTGAATTTTGACTCTAATGAGACGCTCCCTGCAGGGTCTAGGTAGGGTGTCAGCAATATTCAGGATGTTAAACATCCCAAAAATTCCAAGGAGTTTAAAAAAAAATTGGAACAACTCTTTGTAAAGAATGTGCCTTAGATTACATAACAGAACCCAGAAGAAAAAAACAGATGTTCCTCCAGGGATTGTTACTTCGGCATACAACCAGCAAAAGTCAATGATTTGGGATCGTGCTTTTCAACATTTACTACGATATCACAGCAATTAATCGCAAAGCTGGCAGCAAACTAACAGCACTTGGGTCTGGCTGTTTTAAAGTGTTATTATGGCAACTAATTTCCTTTAATCTGCTTTTATTTGAATTAGTAATACAGGTACAGCAAACTTTTTATTAACTGACACCTATGGGACCAGGAGAATACCAGTTTATCAAATATTCCAGTTGACCAAGAGGTCCACATAATCAATGTAAAAACACACTAAGTAATAGAAATGTAATGCAGGAGGTATACATATCACTGTTATACTTTATTTACAACGTAAATAACTTAAATAAAACTTAATGATAGACAGCCTTCACTCACACCCTTCACTAACTACTCAGACAGTTTTTCAGGTATCCAATTTTTGCCAGTCTATTGAGAGTGCCGGTTCATTAGGCGCCGATTAAAATAAAGTTTGCTGTATAATAAATGCGGGAAAAGGCAATTCATCCCCTCAAGATCGCTCCAGGTTGGTTTGTTCCTCTAAATCCTGTTTAACTAAAAGTAAATTACAATCAGTCCTGAAAGTTCCTAATACAAACAAACTAATGAAAAAAGAGCTTCAAATTATTAGCTTAATGGAAGCTATGATGTATCAATTCAAATATGACTTGGAGCCTAAGGTTTTCCTTTCATTTGGCATAAAAGTTTATATATTTTTGAGCACTGTGCTGTAAGACTATGCCAAGGCAAGTAATTGTAACAAAAAAAAAAACTACATGCAGAATCTTGCATACATTCCTAATGCAAAACTAAATTGAGAAATTTTATTTGTTAACATTTATAAAAGGTGATCAAAGAAATGTGTTTGTTTTTGAAATGTATTCATGTAAAATAGATCTTTTGATGTTGAATTTTTTTAGTCTAGCAAACCCACAGACACCAAACAAGGATGTGGTTAAAATAAAGGAAGAAAGAAACAATATTGTTAATAAACTTGCAGAATCGGCAAGCAATTAGCAAATTAATTTCGATTTCACTAAATGTAAGGAGATGCATTTTGGTCAGAAGAATAAAGACATCTCATGTTGCTTGGAAAATGAGTCTAAATGAATACAAGAACAATGGGGTCTAGGGTACAGATAGACAAATCATTGAAAATAGAAACATAGGTTAATACTGCCATACAAAAGGAAACCTGAACTAGTAGCTGCAAATTAGGACACTGACCAATAAGTCCAATAGGAATTCAGATATTTCCTTATCCAAACGTGGTTAGGCTTTAGAACACACTACCATAATGGATCATTAAGACAAATACTTGCCATGTACTGACAACGAATCTAGATAAACATCAGGAAGAAAGGAATAGAGGGTTATGCTGATTTGAAGAATTGGGGTAGCTCACATAAAGCATTAAAATCAGCATGGATCCAATGGGTCGACTGGCTTGTTTCTATGCTGTTCTGGTCTTTGATTTGATTTATTATTGTCACAGGTTCCAAGATACAGCAAAGAGAGTGTGTTGTTTTGCATGCTCTCCAGGCAGATCGTACCATATAAAGTGCATGAGGGTAGCAGAACTCAGTGCAGAATACAGTTACAGCCAGAGAGAAGGTGCAGAGAAAGAGAGAGAGAGATCAAAATTAACATTTGACAGGTCCATTCAAAAGTCTGATAACAGCTGGTAAGAAGTTGTTCTTGAATCTGTTCATGCATGTAATCAAACTTTTATATCTTCCGTCTGCTGGAGGAGGGTGGAACAAAGTATAACCAGGGCGGGAGGGGGGGCTTTGATTACACTGGTTGCTTTCCCAAGGCAGTGGAAAGTATAGATGGAGTCAAAGAATGGAAGGCTGGTTTGCGTGATGGGCTGGGCTGTGTTCACAACTCTGTAGTTTCCTGTGGTTTTGGCAACAGGAGTTGTTATACCATGCTGTGATGCATCCAGATAGAATGCTTTCTACAGGGCATGTATAAAAATTGGTAAGTATCTTTATGGATATGTCAAATTTCCTCAGCCTCCTGAGGAAGCAGAGGTGTTGTTGTCCCTTCTTGACTGTCAGATCCATGTGGGTGGACCAGAACTGATTAGTAGTGATCATCACTCCCAGGAACTTGACGCTCTGGCCCATCTCCGCCTCAGCACCAGTGAAACTGACAGGGGCATGCCCTCCACTCCAATTCCTTAAATCAATGACCAGCTCCCTCATTTTACTGACACGGATGGAGAGATTGTTGTCTTTACATCATGCTAAGCATTCAATCTCTTTCCTGTACTCTGTCTCGTCATTGTTCGAGATCTGCCCTACAATGGTAGCATTGTCAGCAAACTTGTAAATTGAGTGAGGGTTGGATTTGGCCACACAGTCCTGTATATAAGCGCAGTAGGGGGCTGAGTATGAAGCCTTGCGGGGCACCAGTGTTGAAGAATATTGTGGAGGTGTAGTCACTCGTTCTTACTGATTGCAGTCTACGGGTCAGGAAGCCAAGGATCCAGTTACAGAGAGGGGAGCCGAGACCTAGGTCTCAGAGTTTGTAGGTTCGCTGGTTTGGAATTATGGTGTTGAAGGCAAAGCTGTAGTCAATTAGTAGGAGCCTGACATAGGTATTTTTGTCATCCAGATGTTGCAGGAATTAGTGTAGGGTCAGGGAGATGGCATCTGCCATGGACCTGTTGCATAAGTAGGCAAAGTTCAATGGATCAAGACAATGTGGTAGGCTGGAGTTGATGCGAGCCATGACTAATCTCTCGAAACACCTAATAATTATGGAGGTCAGAGCCACCGGGCGGTAGTCAGTCGGGCACACTACATGATTTTTCTTTGGCATCAGGATGATGGTGGTCTTCTTGAAGCAGGTAGGAACTTCAGATCAAAGTAGAGAGGGGTTAAAGATGTCTGTGAATACACCTGCCAGCCTGTCCGCACAGAATCAAAGCACACGGGCAGGGACTCTACCCGGGCAAGTCGCTTTCTGTGGGTTCACTCTCAAGAAAGCTGATCTGACATCTGTGGCGGTGACTGAGGATACAGGTGTAACCAAGGCTGTTGAGACAGGTGACATTGTTTTACTGACGTTCTGTTCAAAGCGAGCGTAGAATGCATCAAACTCATCGCGTAAGGATGCACTCCTGTCTGTGATTCTGTTCGACTTAGCTTTGTATCACATTATCTGGTGTAAAGCTTGCCACAAATGACAGGTGTCTGTATGGTTAGTCTGGGTCTCAAGCTTAGTTTGGTATTGCCTCTTGGCATCTCTGATGGTCTTGCAAAGGTTGTACCTGGATGTCCTGCAATTAGGTTAGAACGCCTCAGACCTGAGCTTCAGCAGGGAGTGGATCTCTCGTTTCATCCATGGTTTCTTTTGGGGAATATTCAAATCAACTTCTTTGGCACACAGTCTTCTATACACCCACTAATGAAGTCAGTGATTGAAGTGGCACACTCATTTTGGTTGGCCACTAACTTGAGTATGGACCAGTCCACCGACTCTAAGCAATTTGCTCCTATGATGCTGCTTGGCCTGCTGTGTTCATCCAGCTCTGCACCTTGTAGTCCCGCAGAAGCCCTTCTGCTGCCTCAGAACAACACTGCACTCCTTCCTGTACTGTGTCCTCACACTTCAATTTCTGATTATAAACCGGGAGGAGGAGCACAGCGTTGTGATCTGATTTCCCAAAATGCGGATGGGGGATGGAACGGTAGGATCTTTGATGGTTGTATAGCTATGGTCAAGGATTATTGGACCTCTGGTAGAAAAGGAGACATATTGATGGTATTTTGGGAGCACATTCTTGAGGTTGGTCCAGTTGAAGTCACTGGCTATGATGAACAAGGCCTTGGGGTACTGTGTCACAAGACTGCTCGTTGCTTTGTGTTCTTCGTCAAGTGCACTCTTCACTTCCACATGGGGAGGGATGTAGATCTTTCAGGACAGCAGAGGTGAACTTGTGTGGCATGTAGTAGGGACGGCACTTTACTGTAGGAGATTCTAGATCCAGGGAGCAGTAGCTCACCGGGGTCACCATGACCGAGCACCAGACAACATTCTGGATTCCGGAAGCAGACCCCACTGCCCTTTGTCTTGCCCAAGGACACCTAGCAGTACATTCAGTGAACCGAAAAACCCTCATGTTGTAAGGCACAGTCAGGTGTAGCAGGAGTGAGCCAGATCTATGTGAAGCAGAGCACACAGCAGTCTCTTCTGCCACGACCTTACAGGCAGGTCAAGCCAGAAAATAACTGGAATGCAACTCATTAGTTTATTCGTAATGGACTCAGTGCAAAAATGCGGGAAAAATATGGAATGGCAAACAATTGAAAAGGGTGGATCATTCATTTTTTAACTACTGCAATCCCAATTCTTTTGATACACTGCCATGAATGCTTGCAGAACTCCCTAAGACTATACCAAAAATTTTATTCATTCCGTTTGGGAAAATGCAGCTTCCGACCAAACTCTGGGAAATGCATTTCCACACAAATAATATTCTGAAAGACAACTACGAAGTCATATATAGCAAGCACTGCAGGGACAGTGCTACAAATATTATTTTCTCTAAGCAAAAACAGGTCATTCATCTTATTGTTACTTGTGGAATTTAAACATGCATAAAGTGGGTTTTTATAGTGATATACTCACCTAGGCATTGTAAACTGTAATAGTAGTCAAGATGTTTTTGAGGGACATGATGTGGAGATGCCGGTGTTGGACTGGGGTGGACCAAGTCAGAAGTCACATGACACCAGGTTATAGTCCAACAGGTTTCTTTGAAATCACAAAAAGTTGTGATTTCAAATGAACCAATTCGACTATAACCTGGTGTCGTGTGACTTCTGACCTTCAGGGACATGATAAATCACCCTATAGGTAGCAGAATGATTTTGTTTTCTCTTCATGGATGCTGCCGGACCTGCTCAGCTTTTCTAGTAATTTCTATTTTTGTTTCTGAGTTACTGCATCTGCAGTTCTTTCGGTTTTTATTGAGGGTTTAGAAGGATATGGGCCAAATGCTAGGAAATGGGATTAGATTAATTTGGGATATCTGGTCAGCATGGACGAGTCAGAACAAGGGGTCTATTTCCATGCTGTACATCTCTGACTCTATGATACCGAATGTTTGACAACAGCACAGTTATTCATGCAATGTCTTAATACAGTGAAGATATCTACAAGTGTATTAAGCAATGGGTTTATTCAATTTGGATCATTAATCTCAACAGAACAGGACAGAATGCAAAACTGTGGTATTGTAAAAATATAGCTTCTTGAAGTTTATGCAGGCACCCTCAGACCGGGTCATACTTTGAACATCATTGATGGATGGAGATCTCTGGATGTCAAATATATACAGCGCACTACAGAAAAAGCTTCTATGAATATTCTATTTCCTTCATACAGTTTCTTATTCAGCACATTCAGAGTACACAGGGCAGTCCTGGTTTCCATATCACAGAAAGGAAAAAGCAGCACTGGAGAAATTGCTGAAAAGCTTGTCAAGAATAAGATTAGTAATGAAAGGTTATAACTATCAGGAATAAAAATGAGTAGCCTGATGACCTTTTCTTTATAAATAGGAAGGCTGAGCAGTGACTTGACAGAAGCCTTTAAGATTATGAAAAGTTTTGATACTTGTGGTGGAAACCAGAAGTGATAATAAATATAAGCTAAATCACTAATACAACAGAGATTTATTTTTAAATTTACTAATGGGATGTGACTATCACTAGCAAAGCCAGAGCTTATTGCACATCTGTAATTTTCTTTGGGAGTGTGATTGTGAACCATCTTCACAAACCATGTAAGTCTACGTGGTGTAGGTACGCCCACAGTACGATTAGATTAGGTTCATTCAAGACAGCATTGAGAAGGTGGAACTCACTACTAGTGAGGAGGAGCAGCAGAAAGTCAACGTTTCATGTCTCAACCTTTTATCAAGACCCGAAACGGCAATTTTCCTGGTCCTCCAATGCTGTCTGATCTGCTGTGCTTCTTCAGCTCCACATTTATCGACTGACTTCCAGCATCTGCAGTCCTCACTATCTACTAGTGAGGTGGTAGTTTGGTTGAAGGATAAATTTAAGAATGAACCAGTGGAGCCAAATGTCCTGTTTCTGTAATGTAATTATCCAATGGTCACATTACATGAGGCAACAGAAAGCCTTGATCAATGAAAATATTGCATAGTTTATAGGGATGTATAATCTGTTAACTCAGATACAATGTAACATTTCTCAACATTGTTAATGCAAGTTAATAGCCTGGAGTGGAGACATACCTTCCCATCAGATGCAGTGTTTATCCTGTAGTGGTATACCCTTCCTTCATAACGAAGTGATATGGATCTTTGACCGGGGCTACTTTCACTCTCTCGCACTAGAAAACTCCCATTGATGCCACTGCTGAGGAGATATTCTGCAGCATTGCGTGAGACTGGCCCATGGTACCAGGAGTGTTTCTCTAGACTGTTAACAGGTGTAATATAGTTGCTGGGAACCCAGCCCTGGCCATTTTTAGTCTGAGCCTCACACCATTCTCCATTGTGGTTGTAGCCCAAAACACGAAGCTTTTCACCTGCCAGAAAGAAAATGTGTTACCAAAGGTCTCAATGCACAGACTGTTGCATCACACCTCCAAAAAAAAAATGAACTGCATAAAAATAAAGTCTTTTTAAGCTTACACTGTCATTGCCCACTTTGTTTCCAGATTTGGTTTCTTGTATCTTTGCTTTACATACATAATCCCAGGCACTCCTAATTTCCCTTACCAAAATATCCAATTATCTCTTTCAATCAGTATAGGGTAAGACACTGCCACCGACCAACCTTACTGTGGCTGGGAAGACCTACCTGATTGATGGGGGAAATCTCTGATTCCCATTCAGTTGTCCCCCCACATTTCCCTGATATAACAAGACAGATAAAACAGAAATACCTACTGTATACATCAGTCCAGACTAGGGCTGGATTTCTACTGCACTCAGTGTAGAATTATTTCCAAAAAGCAACAACGAACAAGTTTGAACTGTAGGATTTCAGTTTGCCTGGTGCATTTGATACTTTTTCATGCATTTGCACTAACTTACACCAAAACTCTCTGCCTTTAAAGAGACAAGTAAACTTCTCAATCTTCTTTTTAAAATCAAACCAAACTATCAACACTCCTCTGCCTGTCTGTACGTGTCAACAACATCCAAGGAGGTCAATAACTAAACATCTGGGAGGACTACAAAAGTAAGTGGTTACATTAGGAGACAGAACTAGCAAATGCTGAATTAGTCAGTTGTCTTTTTTGTATTCAAAAATAAAAACTACAGCATATGGACTGCAGGGGTTGAAGGCAGCTTACCACTGCCTTTTCAAGGGCAACTAGGGACAGGTGAGAAATACCAGCTAGCCAGCAATACCCACACCCCACGAATCAATAAATATAAAACATCACCACCACTATTGGCAGATGTAGAAATCAGCAGGGGAAAAAAACTTGCAATTTTGGAATATTGGCCAATTCTCAAATGGAAAGCACTTCACTCGTAATTATCATCATCACAAAAATATTTTAGGAGTCATATTTTAAAAGAATTGCAAACAGTTCACAAGATGGTACCAGTCCAGATCTAATTTTTGATGCCAAATCAATACTGCTACATTGGTGTCAAAATGAGGCGTAATCAAATTCCATTTAACATCTTCATAAGTCGTACGTATTTCCCCACGGCCACAAAATCAGCTTGTAAAAGCAGGTTATCTTTCAGCAGAGATTAGTAATGGAAGGTTAAGTGTTCCTTTGGGTTCATCATCCTCTTGTGTCATTCCTTGCCACCTATCTCTCCCGCCTCACCCTCACCGTCACCACACATCCTCTCTCAAATATATTCCAGCTGTTGCTTTAAGTTCAACGATCATAAATAATTTTGGCAATTTCTTTGGTGGCATGCCCTTCACTCTTACCTTTAGTAATGCTGAGTGTATTGTCCCCGCTGGCAACAAAGTCATACAGTGCAACAAAAAGATTGGGGTCATTTTCACTAGGGCAAGCAAGCAAGTTCTCTTTGGAGTTCCACCGGGCAGCCTCGTTCAGGCCCTGTGACTCAAAATCTGGACGGTGTAGGGCTTCTAGAAAGAAAACCAAAATAAAGTTTTAACACTACGCATGTAATTTCATAAAAGCACGTAGTTAAATCCTGCTATGCCAGTCAGATGCTGGCTAGTCACTTTAACCACAACCCCTTGTAATATTACACTTGCCTCATTTCACAAAATACTTCAGACAGCTGGTAACATCACAAGGGTTTTCAAGCCTTCATTGATAATTAAATTTAAGCACTTTAAAAAATACTTAAGGAAAATAAATCCCAGGATTCAAACAGTATATGTGACATCTGACTGCTACCTTCTTGAGATTCACTTGATAACACTGTTTGCCTGATGCTGCACAGGAGACATGATCTCGAAACACCCAAACTGTGGCCCATGGACTTGACATCCTAGCCCATCAAATCTTACTGACTTTTTTTTTTTTTAATATGAGCTTAAGGTTCTCCAGGACTATTTTGTCCCTTTTGCTTTATATACATCCAAAAGTGTGGAAAGAATTATTCTTGCACTGCTGGCTTATCTATGGATCCTCAATTGGAACAAAAATGACACTCAGAGTCTCCACTTTCAGAGATGAAAAAAATCCATATGCTCTTCCCTGGGATAGGAGGTCGGTGTACTTCAAATGATGCCATCAGTTATGCTAGGGTCAAAATCCTGGAATTCCCTCCCTAACAGTATGTTGGGTCAACCCAGTGTGGGGGCATTGTCCCATACTCTGTGTGTAATAACATCTCTGAACAGGTTGATTAGAAAAATAGGTTAATTTTTTTTTTTTAACAGCACATGGACTGCAGGGTTCAAGGCAGCAGTTCACCATCATCATCTCAAAGGCAACCAGGGACAGCGAATAAATGCCCACGTCACAGGAATGAATTTTGTTAAATAAATGCTGGATTGGTACCTCCAAAACAGTCAGGCCCAGAATAAAAGCAGTAAATCCAATTCTCCAAGACAAGGTGCAGAGCTGGATTAACACAGCAGGCCAAGCAGCAGAGGAGCAGGAAAGCTGACGTTTCAGGCCTAGACCCTTCATCAGAAAAGGGGGAGGGGAAGGGGGTTCTGAAATAAATAGGGAGAGAGTGGGAGGCGGATAGAGGATGAATCCGAAGAGATTACGAGAGAGTTGCAGTGGAAGAGAGATCCCCTGAGGTTTGTCCGGAGGGAGGTGGGTAACTTCTTCAGGCTAGGCATCCTTAGAAGAGGCTTCGCAGTGGAGT